GTCCCACCTGTCCTCTTGTCGTAGTCACTCTCGGCCATCTCGTATTTGGCCACCTGGCTCAGGTCCTCAAACTGCCCCGCACGGGCCCCGCTGCGGTCGGTCACCTGTGGGGACACCAGGGGGACATGGGGACACCTGTGGGGACACCAGGGGGACATGGGGACACCTGTGGGGACACCGGGGGGACATGGGGACATCAGGGGGACATGGGGAGGTGGCACTGAGACACCCACAGGGGACACTGAGGTGACAGGAGGTCACACAGGTGACACAGGTGACACAGGTGACACAGGTGACACAGGTGACACAGGTGACACTCACGTGCACCCTGCAGCCGTCGCTGATGGGGAAGGAGCCCAGCAGGGCCTCGTCGCAGTCCAGCGGCCCCAGGGGCTCGTCCTGGGCCCCGAACAGCTCCAGCTGCATGCACGAGGCTGGGGAGCCCACCACCAGCTCCAGTTTGCACTGGGAATGGATACTGGGGTTACTGGGAGCACTGGGAACGGACACTGGGGTTACTGGGAGCACTGGGAACGGACACTGGGGTTACTGGGAGCACTGGGAACGGACACTGGGGTTACTGGGAGCACTGGGAACGGACACTGGGGTTACTGGGAGCACTGGGAACGGACACTGGGGTTACTGGGAGCACTGGGAACGGACACTGGGGTTACTGGGAGCACTGGGAACGGACACTGGGGTTACTGGGAGCACTGGGAACGGACACTGGGGTTACTGGGAGCACTGGGAACGGACACTGGGGTTACTGGGAGCACTGGGAACGGACACTGGGGTTACTGGGAGCACTGGGAACGGACACTGGGGTTACTGGGAGCACTGGGATTGCCGCAGGAATCCCTCCAGTAACTCCCAGTTCGCACTGGGAGGGGTCACTGGGAGTCCCAGCGCTCCCAGGTGCGGTTTGGGGCTCCGTTATCCGGGTTATCCTGGTCCGGTTATCCCGGTTATCCCGGTCCGGTTATCCCGGTTATCCCGTTATCCCGGTTATCCCGGTTCCCCGATTCCCGTCATCCCGGTTATCCCGTTATCCCGGTTATCCCGGTTATCCCGGTTCCCCGATTCCCGTTATCCCGGTTCCCGTTCTCCCGGTTCTCCCGGTCCGGTACCTTGAGCTCGGCGATGGTGAGCGCGGGCGAGAAGCGTTTGCAGGCACGGAAAGCGTTCAGGGAGCTGCTCACCGCCAGCCACACCGGGCCCGGCCCGGCCCCGCCGCCGTTCATGGCCCCGCTCCCGAGCCGGTACCGAGCCGGCCCCGCCCAACCCGGACCGAACCGGGCGCCCGGACACGCCCGGCCCCTCCGGGAGCCCCTCCGGGAGCTCCTCCGGCTCCCCCGAAGCGGGAGCCCCTCCGGGAGCCGCCGGCTCCCCCGAACCGGGAGCCCCGAACGGTTCCGGGCCCGCCCGAACCGGAGCCGCTTCTGGAACCTTCACGGGCCGCCACAGCCGGGACCGGTGAGGGAGCGGCCAATCAGAGCTGGCGGATGAGGTCACGTGATGCAACGCGACCAATAGCTATCGAGAGGAGGAGGGACGAAGAGAAAATTACCCAATAGACGCAGAAGCAGGCGGGATAAATGAGGGTTGACCAATAGAAGGAGAGAAAGGGAGGGGAGAAAAGAGGCTCAGCCAATAAAAAGAAAGAAAGGAGGTGCTAAAGTGAGACTGGACCAATAGAAATAAGAGAAAGGCGGGGCAAAGAGAGTCTTCCAATAAGAATATGCAATTGGCGCGGCTGGAGGAGCGTTGACCAATGAGAAGAGGGAAAGCGGATGATTGACGGGTGGTTAGACCAATGGGATGAGGGAGGAGGTGGAAAGGGGCGCGTGGGCGCAGCCATGGACGGGGAGGGCGCGTACGAGCCGGGCTTCGTGGGGATCCGTTTCTGCCAGGAATGGTGAGGGAAAACTCCGGGAAAACTCCGGGAAAACTCCGGGAAAAGCCGGGAATTCGGGGGGGAAACCAGCGGGAATGCGCCGGGAATGCTGCGGGGAGAAGTGGGGGGGGCAGGCGGGGACAGGGGGGGATGGGGGGGGACG